AAATCATTAAGAATCAGGTGTTGGGATAAAAATATATGCTGTAAAATTATTAAACCTGCAACATTAGATCTTAGAAGAATAAGAGAGTACACCTAGTTTTGTGAGGGATGGTCCTGTGCACAAGGACCCTTTAACATTTAGATCAAGATTACAGGGCCATAGCCAATGCATAACCTTAAATTGTGCATGATAATGCTGCTCAAATATCCACTGTTCTTTTTCTTTTCTTTTCTTTTTTTTTAAAAGATGACCGGTAAGGGGATCTTAATCCTTGACTTGGTGTTGTCAGCACCACGCTCAGCCAGTGAGCGAACCGGCCATCCCTATATGGGATCCGAACCCGTGGCCTTGGTGTTATCAGCACCTCACTCTCCCGAGTGAGACACGGGCCGGCCCATCCACTGTTCTTTTTCCATATGAACAGTAGGTTCATTCCATTAGAACATAAAATCATTAGACCCCATTAGAATTTAAATGTTAACATTTTTCCTTTTAGCAAAGTTGTATTTAACCAAAATAGCTGCCACCCTGTTAATAGGGCGGATATTAAGCACAGCTTGCTAACAGAAAAAGGTCCCAAGATAACTTCAAGACAATGAAGGGATGGCCGATCTGATAACCTGAGATTCCAGGAAAAAGAAGCACGAGTTGCTCACCTGAGACATGCTGACAAAAGGAAAGGACGTATGCTATACGAAGTTATTACGTCCCTGGACCAGCCAGCTGCCCCCGCCCCCCAAACAATCAGTCCTTGAGTGAGAACTCTCTCCTCCCTCTCTTCCCAAAGTAAAAAATTCACACTTTAATACTAAATTGTGGATATTGTGTTGTTTCTTCTGATCCAGCACCAGCTAAAGGAAAGGGGGCTTTCTAAATATTTTTGTTTCTGTAAAAATAATTGCAGGCTTCTTGGCAGCAGCACATAGATAGAAGGTAGACACTTCCGTGAATATTATAGATAGAAATGAAACTAATCTGAGCTGATCAGATTCAAGAAGGCCACATATCGAACTTTATCAGCTTCCAGAAGCCATTCTTTTTGCCCTCCAACTCCAGGTAAAGGACTGAGAAGTCTAGGAATAAGCGTAGCATTGACATACACAGTATCTGCACGTAATTAGTGTAGTTTAGTGGTTAATTGCTTCCATTACTCAGTTAGCTTATTAGATTCGAGGAGAATCATCAGCCAACAAATATTTATTGATATAAAGGAAGAACTATATCATGATCATACGATGTTAGTTAGGTACTGGGGAACACAGTGGGAAAACAAGAGGAGAAGATATACATTCAACAAATGATCACAATTTATCAAATAAATGAATTCAAGGATGCAGAGTAACCATGTGTAAGAAATACAGGGTGTCAATAATAGATACTTAATACATGTGCACACACACAGACACACATATCCTTAAGGAACAGAGCTCAACATGAATCTACCATTTCTCCACCTCAAGTGACAGCTCTGTTAATTTGTAACAAGCAATATAAATAGCAGTCTCTATATACAATTTATATGTACCCCTTTTCTCTTGTCGTTTATCACTGCCTGAGAACAAACATGGATTCTATTGATGCCGAATTGCTGCAGTAAAATTGATTCAAAGTAAGTAATTGTTATGGGTTCCGATATGAACAGGTAAGCTGTAGATGGTTTATGCTTTTGGATGTCTGTTTACACAAGCAATAGAGCACAGTGGCTAAAAGCAAGCCACTGGAGTCAGACTCTGGCTTCTGTTCTATACCGAGTCCACTATTTACTAGCTGTGTAAATCTTGGACACTCATCTGTAAAGCGAAGATAAATAATCACATTAACAACCTTGGGGCCGGCCTGTGGCTCACTCGGTAGAGTGCGGTGCTGATAACACCAAGGCCACGGGTTCGGATCCCATATAGGGATGGCCGGTTCGCTCACTGGCTGAGCGTGGTGCTGACAACACCAAGTCGAGGGTTAAGATCCCCTTACCGGTCATCTTTTAAAAAAAAAAAAACAACAACAACCTCGTAGGTGGTTATGAGGATTAAATGAATTGGAACAGTACCTGGCACAAAGTAAGTGCTCTGCAAATGTCACCTGTTGTTTTTGCTCTAACAGGCCACCCCCCTTTACTTTTAGCCAACTAACTGGGCACAATAATATTGAATCTCAGGTATAGGGAGGATTTTTGTCAGAGAGTAAGGTTTGTTAAGTATAGTCAAGGAGGTCCAGGAATTTAATACCGCATATGTTGTCTTAAGGGCTGAGTTTCGTTTAGGGTGTCAACTGAGAAAGACAGTGTTTTTTAGAACGACATTTACTGTGGTATTGTTAGTATATAGAGTAGTAAAAACAGTAGTTAATAGTCTTCACATGTGTTAGCTTCTTTTAGACTTCTTTTCAAAAAATACACTTGGTTTATTACATAAATATATCGTGTCCCACTTAACATAGTTGTGACAAATTGAGGAAAGAGATGGTAGAGTATGAAGAGCTGATAGAAAACTTTTTTTTTTTTTTTTTTCAAAGGATGACCGGTAAGGGGATCTTAACCCTTGACTTGGTGTTGTCAGCACCACGCTCAGCTAGTGAGCGAACCGGCCATCCCTATGTGGGATCCGAACCCGGGGCCTTGGTGTTATTAGCACCACACTCTACCGAGTGAGCCACGGGCCGGCCCAGATAGAAACTTTTAATATGTGGAAAACCTCAGAACATGAACCTGTACAGTGTTATTAATAGGCATATCATCAACAACAGTTTTTCAGACTTTGTGCTTCACTCTGGAGAAAAACAAGGATATCACATCTTGAATTTCTTCACTGGGTAATTTAAAACCCAGTTATACTGTGAACACCAGCTGCACATATCATGCTGCTTGAGTTCAACATCAACTAAAATTATATATGCAACTGGTCACATATTCCCTTTCAAAATTGTTACTATTCAAAACTGTCCAAATCAACAAAATAGTATGAATATTTATTATCATAAATCTTTTGGTTATCTCTTTGGTTGTTTTTTTAAAAACCTCATTTTAAATTCTTGATTCCACTCTATTCAATGTAATATAATGTAATAGCTAATACATATTGAGAGCTTACTATATAATCCAGGTGCTGTTCTAGAAATGAGAAAACTGTTCAGAGAAAACTGTTTAGGGTCGTCACAGCTTTTAGATAATAGAACCTGAAGAAGGTGGGGACAGTACGGAGAACTTATGTGTATAGAGTCTGTAGACCCGTGTTCTTTGCATAGCACTTATTTTGACGTCCTCTTTTAGGATCTAAAAACCGTGTACAATTTTTATTACTATTACTAGAAAGGAATAGCGTTTTTCAGAGGAAAACGTTCCACTTTGTCTCTAATGGCTAGTAATCAATAAAACCGTTCTCGTTCTGCTGCTGTGGGAAATAAGCAACAACGGAAAAGTAACAATGATTTTAGAGCATAATTCATTTGCCAAGACAGACAAGGAGATGGGAAGGAGAGTCAAGTGTCAAGCTCTGCCTTGACAGTCCCCAACCGGCCCAGGGCTGAGCAGCCGCCGGGGTGCAGAGGTCGGACCTGGTTTTCCGGCAGGCGCTGGGGGCGGGGCCCGAGGCCGGGGGCGGGTTTCCACGAGCTCTGTAGCCGACCTGCGCCGCCACCGCCGCTGGAGTTCTTGCAGCCGCCGGGCGCGTGCGCAGGCGTGGGGGGCTGCAGCCGGCGCGGGAGCCCGGGG